GACGCTTTCGCATTTTCATTTGACGCTTTCTCATTTACAATTGACTAATCTGATTTCCAAACGACGCTTTCGCATTTACAACTGGAAATGGTGTAGTTCATCATGACCTTCTTGAATCTGTTTAAACGATTACGGTATGTCTTGGATCAATGTATGTAGCTCGATAGAGAACACTCTTCGGTTTTCTTTTCGCCGGGAGTCTCAGTTGTTTTACACTGGCGGAAGAACTACTTTACGATTAAAAAGTATATAAATCAAGTATGTTAAAAATATGCATATATATAAATTACTTGGATATTTCATTAATAAAGTGCCGCGTTTAGCGCCATATTCCCCCATGCTAAACCCCATTGAAATAATCTGGGGAAAAATCAAAATGCATGTAAAGGGGCACATCTCAAACCCAGTCATAAATGGGCCAAACCTTGTTGAACAACGGCTGCAATATTTGGAGAAGTTGGTGGAGGAGACTGCGCGAGAGAATTTCAGCACGCAACATCTTTCCATGAAAATGCTTTATCTTTACAAGATATGCAAGTTGGGACATAATAAACTTGCATTTTTAATAACATCTAAATAATTTCTGAATAAAAACGAGTTTCTCATTTCCAAATGACCCTTTCTCATTTACAATTGACTATTCTCAATTCCAAAAGACGATTTCGCATTTTCATTTGACGCTTTCTCATTTACAATTGACTACTCTAAATTACAAATGACGCTTTCTCATTTACTATTGACCTTTTCTCATTTACAATTGACTATTCTCAATTTCAAATGACGATATCGCATTTACAATTGACTATTCTCATTTCCAAATGACGCTTTCGCAATTTCATTTGACGCTTTCTCATTTACAACTGGAAATGGTGTAGACCCTTAGCCGACATTACTAGTTCTAGCTCAATACCCAAGCAATGCTTTCAACTGTCCAGTTTTACACGGCGATGTCATTGGCGGTGGCAATTGTCGCCCAATGCATTACTTTGCAACCAGTTTTTAACCGGTCCCGTTTTGGACAGTTTTTCTTTTATAAGCAAACGTATTTGAGATTCGATTTTTGGATATTTTTTTTCGATTTTTCTTATCTTGTACAGATTCCATTTTTGTTACATATTTTATTAAAAAAAAAAATATTGTAAGCTGCATGCAATAATTTGAATTCATTAAATTTGAAAACTCACAACTGCCTCCACCCCGATTTGAACTCGCAACTAACGATAGTTGAGTCGGAGGTCTTCTCGCTGGGGTAATTTCGTATTGTACGAGTAGTGAGCATTTGCAAATTTATACCGCAAGTTTCAACTGTCCCGCTCTGCATTCCTTTTGAATTAGTTCAGAGATATTTCTGAGATATGTAGTTCGGAACTAGCGCTTTGCCAGACTGTCTCTAAATTTTACTGCAGGGCTCTTATGCATTCACAAGTTATAGGCTTTCGATGCTTTCTCCTGGTACGAAAAAACGCATGCTTGTTTCGTTGGTGCGTGGTAAACATTGATCCCTTATGGATTGACAGGCAGCTAAAATTTAAAAAATTGCATCTTTTTCCTAAATTTATTATAATAAGTAATTAAAAATGTTTGTAAACCAT